GGGCCTGAACCCTCAACCCCTAGAACCCCTGTATGCATGGCTTGATCCGGAGTTTCCACTGAGCGGCGTAGGAAATGACGAGGCAAAAGGTGTCAAACAGGTTCCACTTGTAGTCCTCACATGCTCATCACTGCTCGGGGATCGGGCTGCGGAGTGCGAGCCGATGTGCACAGCTGTCCTGTCCACAGAAGTAGGCACCACAGCCCAGAATCCAGAGCTTCAGTGCCTGGGCTGACCCGCATCGGCACACGAACCTGTTGCATCAAAGCATCCCTCCAGACAAGATCGAGGTGCAATCTCGGTCGTGTAAATCACGCAGAAAACCAGCCTGCACTGGCAAGCGGGGACTCACAGGCTGCATGTTTGGAGGGGCTGCCCCTTCGGTTGACTGGAGTGTCTCAGCTGCTAAGCCGAGGCAGGCCACTCCAAGATGTCCCAAACAACGGAGTTCTGCTCGATGTCGCTTTGCAAGCCGATGACAATCTCGGTGACGGGTGCAGTACTGAAAGCTTCTCGACGCTAAGCTGGTCTGCAAACGAGGCCCAGGCTGAGTTCACAACGATGGTGATGCTGGGCACGACGCTCAAGAAGAATGCCTAAGCACACTCGTGAACTTTGGGTTGGACTTCCTGGTGTCGTATGGGCCATGTTGGTCCCTTTTGATGGTGCCCTAAAGCCAAGTCTCCGAATTAGAGCAAGGACCCGAAAAGAAGGGGGAAGGAGGGGGGGGGGGGTTAGGGGGTGCATGCCGAGGGGCAACGAAGCCAAGCCATAGTCCTGCCAAAGTTCTGGACGTGCCCAAAAAAACCTGAACCCGATTTTGGGTTCATGGGTCTAGGGCTTATAGGGATTCTTACATTGGCGTCATGAAACCCTCAGCTGGCCCTAAAAACTGCATACGTCATCATCGAACCATCATACATGTGTGGATTCTGAAGGTCAACCGTGACGCAGGAATGCGCGACACTTTGCATAGGCACGGCATAACCTTGGTAGGCCAGGGTGCGATGCTCAATCCCTTGCACGAAGACGTTGCCCCCTGAGCCACGAATAATGGCGGCTAATGTGATGTCGCTGCTTGTCGTTGATGCTGAAGATTTTTATTTATTTATCTACACCCCCTTTACAGGACTATTGAGGGTATCTGTTTCCCTACTTCAAGAACCAAGGCACCCTAATTAAACCTCAAACCTAAACCCGAAGCCCTAACAAAAGGCCTAAACCCTAAGCCCGGGAATCTCCCTAAACCCCAAGCCCTAAATCCTAACAAAGGCGGTGAATCTCCCCAAAGCCTAAAGCATGCACCCGAAACCCCAAGCCCTACTAAAAGGCGGGGAGTCTCCCTCCGTCTCCCCTGGCCCAGACCTCGGGACTGACCCGTGCCGTCCAAGTCGTTTGAAAGCTCGGCCTTGGAGTGTGGGGTTTAGGGTGTATGGTTTAGGGTGCTCAGGGCTTAGGGTTTAGGGTTTAGGGTTTGGGGTTCTAGGGTTCTAGGGCTTGGGGTTCAGGCTTTGGGTTTTCGGGTCTAAGTTTCGGGGTTTACGGGGCGCCATTCCCGAACTAAGAGTTGCTAGGGGCCATCAGAAGCCTTGCTGCGGATGATCGAGTCTCGCGTGCGGGCAAGTGGCCAGTGCGCTTCGGACTCCTTGTGTCATCCTGGACCTCCAACCTCTCCTGTTATGGGGCTTACAGGCTAGCTTGTGCTGGCTGCCACTTGACTTCTACTCACACAACAAGGAGATGAATCCCTTCGGTCCTCTTCGGCATCTCACCTTAGGGCAACAGCCGCGTGTCATCTACCCCTGAAAGGCAGGTTGTGGATGTCAAGGCGAATCACATGCAGAGAAGGAAGTATTGCAGACATGCCGCAGGTAAGCATCGCATCTTGAACTCGGTGCTTTGCCTGCCAATGCGCCCATCAAAGCGTGATCATACGCGCATCGGCCCCCTGACCCGAGCGATGCCCCCACATGTCCGGAGGCACGGTGCCACAGCTCAACATGGCAGCAGCCTCCGGAGCGTCTTCGGCAGGCGTTCTGTCCGCCTCGTCTCTCGAGAAGTCTCACAAACAGTCACGTGTGCAGCTCTGTGACATCTGTCACAAGGAACACTGCATTCCCCCGAACAGCCGAGACTCCTCATCACCAAAATCCACCTTTGCTGGAGCACAAGTGAACGGGAAGCCTAGATGGGAGTTTACGATACCAGGGGGTACTTTAATGGGCTACCTTTATAAGGGGATCCTACTTATTTGGGGGGTCTTGTTTAGGGTACCCCTATGATCGTAAACTCCTCGATGAGCCAAGCAAAACCTCCTCTTGGCTCGAGGAGCCTTGGAAGGTGCCGATCGAGGACTGGACTCACCCAGGTCAGCCGTGTTGCTGGAGCTCAGGGACGACTTGAAGGTTCCTGACAAGGCTCGGGGGCAACTGGGCAACTTGCAGATGAGCAAGACCCTAAACCCTAATCCCTACTAGTAGAACCCTAAAGAGGCTTGAGAGAGTGCTTCATGCTCCTTGATCGGCTCCAAGCCGGCTGGAGAGCTTGTGGAGCTCGTAGAGGAGTGGGCGCTTCACGTTCATCATCATGTCCCGTCGGACTTCCTAGTTCATGGTTGGGGCATGTTGGGGCAAAATAAAAAGTTTATTTGTTTATTCCTTCTTGGGTTTAAGTACCCTTAAAAATGCAAAATGTTACCCAACCATGACAAAGCTTCATCCAAGCAGTCTTGGAAGGCAGCTTGCTCCAGCATGCTCTTCATCTCCAGCTGCAAGGTGTGCATCTTCTTGACATCCGCACCTCGGCTCGCACTTCATGGCTGCAAACATCGGAAACCCTGAGCAGCCAACCACCCATCGGCGTGACAGAGGCCAACAAGCAAGGACAATAACATCATCATAGCAGAAACATGCAGAATATGAGTAGGGTTCTGCTTGGAAAATCGCCAGCGCACAACCCTGAACATCCCCCCCCCCCCCCCCCCCCCCCCCCCCCCCCCCCCCCCCCCCCCCCCCCCGCCCTGGCCTCTGAAGTTCATAGGTGGAGGCGGGCTAGAAGTACAGACGGCTGTTGTCGCGTTTATTCCTGTTTGCTTCTTAAATCATAACCATCATCATCATCATCATCACCAACATCATCATGTGGCCTTCCCCCTCGTCATCTTTCTCGTGCGTGTTGAGTATTCTCCTTTTTTTGAGTTGCTGTCAACTGTTTTCATGTATCACTTTCTGCTTCCTGTTTGTTATAGGTTGCCGCTGTTCGTCATCATCATCATCATCATCATCATCGTTTGTATAGGCTGCAGTAGAAGTCGTCGTAGCTGTAGTCGTAGACGTAAGTCGTCATCGTAGATCTTACGGTAGCTACATGATCCTTTGGTATGGGCCCTGAAAAAGGGACTTCTTGTATACCCCTTCTTCAGAACCCTTTATAATGAAGTAAGGGACCATATTCAAGGGCCCATATAACTGCCTTTAGAGTAGTTGTAGTTATCGTTACTACGATTATGACTCTCGATGTTGTCAATGTGTTCACAACTTTTATTTACTATGCTATTTGTGCGTAAGGTTTGCTTTGTGCATCTGTCATCTATCTATGCTTGCTATGTATTCATATTTGTCAAAATATTTAATCCCATTCCTACCAGTATGACTACTATTGTGCGTAGTACTGTTCATATTTGTTTGACAAACCTAAACCCCAACTAAATCGCATCTTATTAAGTATTCTTGTGTACGTGGACGATTCGATTGCATTTAGTATCGCGTAAATCCCTGGACCCTCTCAAGTTGCCCCCCAACCCCTGTGCAGTGAGCCGGGCGACGCAAGGAAGCGAGCTGATCAGTGGCGTCGCCATCGACGGAGGCCACTGTCAGTTGAGTCAGCTCCCGATCCTTAAGGGTTAAGGGTTTGGGGTTGAAGTGGTTGTCGGAAGCCTACAAAATCCTGTGACCCCCGACACCGAGCCAGCACTTAGGCGAAGAACGGGCAGCGTCCGCAGGAAGGCTGGCGAGGCGTGGGGCGGAGACCTGGCGGAAGCACGCAATTAGGGTTTGAGGGGGGCTTAGGGTTTAGGGTTGGGGTTTGGGGTTTAGGGTAAGAGATGGTAAGAGCATCTAGGCTTGATTCTACAGAGATAGGGGGGGCGGGGGGGGGTCCTGTATGGTTCAGAGTGCCCCAAGGGTGCCCCAGGTTGGAGACTGTGGCTGTCGGATTGAAGAGTTTCCTGGCTTCGGGCGACAAAGGGCACTCCGTTTGCAAAGGTTCGGGATCCAATCGCCCTCTTCCTCCGAAATTAGGAGGTAAGGGCGTAAAATTACTTCAAATATCGGATTGCCCATTGTCTCCGGTAATTCTACACAGATGCGCCAGCATGACCACTCCTGGACGTGAAGAGACAAACAGCTCAACTCGACAGGTAGTTACATGGTCCCTTCATGTGGGCCCTTAAATGGGGGACCCCTAAACCCTAAACCCCAAACCCCTTACATCTCCCTAACATACCCTATAACTCCCCTTAGCTCAACGTGGAAGCAGCTTCGCTGCACTTTGAGCACCACAGGCCTGGCTGGCAGCTCGCAACGCTTATCCTCCCCAAGTTCCATGGCCAGCTGCCCAAGGACAACGGGAGTCTCTAATATGTAGTACAATAGTATACAAACATAATATTCATGAGAAGAATCATCATCATGACAATAATTTTGATAATATGTAGTGAAGAAAGTCAGGTACTCTGGGTCATGGCTTGGCAAGTACGGCGCCTTTCAACCCTGAGCAACCCTGAGATGCTGCTTGTGCTAGCAGGCTCTGAGTCCAGCTAAAAGAAGGCTCTCCTGTTTGGCGAATGAGGGGAATGCTGCGCATTCTTGGTAGGCAGAAACGGCTCTCCGCGCAGACTGCTTGCAGACTTGGAAGAGGAAACGCTGGCGCGGCAGAGTCGTACGTAGGTGGAATCCCCGGATCTAACATCCCGAGTCTCTCTGTGACTCTGTGGCGCCAGCCATGCTCGCAGAGTTGATACCCGCCAGGAGGTCGGCGCTCGTCGCTCCTGGTCGCCCCCAGACTCGAAACATCAAAAGAGTCCCTCATTTGCATTCAATCCGGCAGCCAAAGTTTCAAAGTCTACAGGCCTACACTCATACCATTAAATTGTATCACTTTCTCAACTATACTCTTTTATTGTGTATTACTACTCTACTATTTTTATTTTCTTTTGTTATGGTACCCCCCCCCCCCCCCCCCGCACCTGCAAGGAGAACCGCAGACATCGCAGCCACGGTGCGGGAGCTCCTGACAGAGACCCCCTTGCGAGATCTCTGAAAGGCCCGCTGAGTTGCTGGGATCTGGGCCTCGCAAAAAACGGTCCTCTCAACGCCTGATAGCACTCTAAGCAAAAGAAACGAGGCCGGGAAAACTCATGGTGGGCCCTCCAAGGCCTCACTAAAAAAGTGGAAGATCTGGGGGGAGTGTTGTGTTGTTTTGTGATCTTCTCAGCGTAAGCTTACACAAGTCTGACACATGCTTGCACATGCTCAATACCCGAAAGCCCAGGCTCCGGGGACTGTTCCCAGCGGTACGCATGGCCCACTCCACGGCAAGCCGCCCTGCCAACAGTTGTAAGCTTCCGACACGGCGCTTTTGTTTGCCCATATTAGGCGACCGAAGCTTAAGTTTGCCTGCCCTGGATTCACGACTGCCCCGAGCTCACTCAACTTAAGCAGCTAGCAGTAACATTAGCAACACGGCGTACTAGTGAATGATTGCGATGATTGTCAACCGGCCTTCCAGAGGGGAGACCTCGGATGCGAGGTTTTCGCCCAAACGGATGGCCAACGCAGCGCCCGTCTCAGCGGTGGCCTGCAAGACCTCCACAACTCGCGTGGCCTGGGGAGACGTGCCAAGCATCCAGGCGGAGCGCGCCACGTCCGCAGGGATGTCTTCGCCGAGGGCAAGGCCAAGGCCCGGCGCCTGGAGCTTCAGGTCTTGCTCCGAGAGGCCGAAGACAGTCATGGCCCCCACAGCTGCTGCCAGCTTGGCTTCCAAGGTTCCGATGCCGGAGCTCTCTGCAGCCAGCAATGCCAGGTGGCCGGCCTCTGCCTGGTGCAGGCCTGGCCTCCACCTCATCAGTTTTGCCATGGACCGGCCCGACTCCTTGATGGCGATGAGGCGATGGGGGAGGCACCGGAAGGCGGTGTCTGCACAACGGCCCATGTGAAGGTGCCATGCCGTGGCCGCGGCCACCTGCAATGCCTCCACGGGGGAGAGGCCGAAGTCCAAGCCTAATGCATGGGCCGCCGCCACGCCGGAATCCACAGGAAAGCTGGTGAAGAAGTCCCCCATCTGCTGCCCGAGTGCCACCAAGCTTTGCGATCGGTCAGACAGCGATGAGTAGGCGCCCGCTGCCACTGTGCGAATCACATCGGCCAGGCCTTGCCTGGCCGCAGACAGCTGCGACAGCTGCAAGCCCAACCAGCGCGTCTGCGCATACGCCACGCAGGTGTCTGCAAAAAGCAGGCTTTTGCCGGCAAGCAGCGCCCCGTCATGGATGCGATGAAGCTCCGTGGCCAGTTCCTTGCAGGGCGCGACAAACACACACAAGCTCGCTTTGACTCCTAAGATATGAAGGCATGCAAGGATTCTTTCTCCAAAGGTAAGAGGTGAATCCTCCCACATAAAAGTTCTAACAGCTTCATGTGAGTCATGCTGTGACGCTCCACAACAACGACGACGGTTTTGGCGCATGGGCTGACCGGGGATTCCTGATGTGCTGTTGTAGTGATTGTAGGGCCAGGAGAATTCAGGGCACATGTCCAGTGAGTTGTCGACGTCTACACCACTACGTACTTATTGTAAGCGGTGTCTAGCCCTATGTTCTCAGTGCAGTTGGCAGCTGCAAACTGTGGCAATATGTTTGAATGCTCCGAATTGTAGCTTTCAAACCGAGCAGACACCATGAAGCAATGCTATTTTCATCAGGTCGTCCTGCAGAGGAAGCTGGCCGCTGAAGCTACTGGCAGCCCCGGCAATTGCATCGCCCACGGTGGCTGCCAAGCTGTCCACGTCGGCCAATCGCCGAGCTGTGGAGCTCGCGTCTGCGAGCATCGACTGCGTCAAGGCCCTGCTTGAAACAGCATCCAAGGCTGCTGCCAGAATGCGTGCCAAGGTCGCGGTGTCATTGGACGAAAGCACTCTCATGGCGCTCTGGGTGATGCCGGTGACGCTCTCGTGGACACCCAACGAGGCGTAACTTAGCTCGGTCAAAGCCGAGATCGCCTCGGCTGGCGCGTTGACCGCCAGGCATGCACCCACTGCAGCTCTGATAGCGATGGCAGGGGAGAGCTCGGAGCTCAGGCCAGCATTCCAGACGGAAAGCGTTGCGTTCAGGGCCGAGGTCCCATTCGCTGCCATGACATCTGCCGCAACATGTGCACCCAGCTCCTCCGGGTACGAAGAAGCTGAAGGATCGAGCATGAGCCAGGATCTCATAGAGACGACGGCAGTGGTCTTGTCACCATCGCCACTCGATGCAGAGATCATGGTTAGGTCCGCGCCAATCACACTTGTCGGGGTCGAGACCACCGAATCGTGTATGCACCCTAGATCGCCCACGAGGTAGGACCCCCTGACACAGGTCACGTTGTCCGTCAGGGAGTATCCTTCAATGCAGCGGACGGGGCACCTTGGTTTAAAGGCAGGCCTCTGTGGCGGGCCAATTTAGACATGGCGCAAAGCACGAAGCATTCCGATTGGCTTTACGGCATAGAGCATTCTTATGACGTGGCATCTGCAGCTATGTGCTACAACATCGCGGTCACGCACGGACATGTTCAGCAAGTTTGGCGTGGCCTAGTAATTCCGGGATTCGTCTTGCAAAATGTTCGTCCAGGGCGCTGGAACCCACCTGGTCGGTTCTGGCAGGACAGCAAACTGGAGGGCTCGGCATTCCATATGTCCGGCGCCTGACAGGCACAAGGGAAGCATCGTAGATTCCCACCATGAGTGGTTTGCGATTTCAGGGTGTCCACTGGTATGCAAGATTCCAATAGCTGATGGAGGCAAATGCCATATCACATGACATCTCCGCATCCCCAGGCAGCCCTATACTCGGCCTTAAGGCAAGGCTTTTCCTGGCAGGGTGATGTGCTGTTCACCCGCCAGTCGCCAGCCTGCACGTTCGGCATGCAAGCAGGCACTGTAAGTTTGGTACCCCTGAGCCCTGGTTGCCTTAGTTGAAGCATGGGCTCCTTCGCCTCAAGGCGACCTGTCCCTTTCAAATTGGGGCCTCGCAGATGTACTGCACAGCGCTAGGGTCGGCATCATAGCCCGAAGAGCAGCGGATATCGCAAGCCGCACCATGTGGTTGCCCCACACACGCCTCATCCTTAGCGGTGGGAGCTCCACCCTGCAGGGAACGGACTAAAAGGTGTTTCGAAGATGTCCAAAGACTCCAAGACGCCCCCTGCATCTCGGATCCACACGTCTACATATGAACATACATACACCAATACAAACCTACAATCACGTAAAATGCAGATTCAAAGTGAGAATGAAAACAAGAATGAAAAAAGCAACCGTAGCAATAACAACATCCCCAAGATACACAGGACAAACAAATCTACATCAAAAGCCCTAAGCCCTAAACGCCCTAAACGCCCTAAAAGCCCTAAAAGCCCTAAAAGCCCTAAAAGCCCTAAAAGCCCTAAAGCCCTAAGCCCTAAAAGCCCCAAGCCCTAAAAGCCCTTAGCCCTAAACCCTAAGCCCCAAGCCCAAAACCCTAAGCCCTCAACCCTCAACCCTGAGCCCCAAAAGCCCCAAACCCCAAACCCTAAACCCTAAAACCCAGAGATCTGGGATCCGGGCCGGAATCTCCCCAGCGGACCATGGCGGCGAACCCGAACCTGAGGCTGCTCTTCGGGGCTTCCTGAGTTTGGGGTTTAGGGCTCAGGGTTTAGGGGGTTTGGCGTTTCTTTTTGTTGCTACGGCCCTGCGCGCCAGTCCGCGCGCTTTGGCGTCTGCCCGATTTTGGGATTTCTCAGCTGTTTGGCTATGAGGGAGTACTTACAATGTGGTCCTTAGGGTTTATGGTTTCGGGTTTAGTGTTTAGGGTTCAAGGTTTTAGAGTCCCTGAAGAGGCTCCTGGTTCTCACTGTTCCTCCAACTGAAGACACGCCTAAGACCCCGGTCATCCTGCTCCCCTGCCCCGAGAATTCCAACCAGAGGCCCTGAGCTGTATATGCACAGATACGTAAACAGAATATCGAGTTTCCTGTTGAGTAGTACAACTGCTAGTCTTGACCACTATTATTTACAAGTAGGTTCTATTTAGGCTTTTCCTGGCATGGCCATTCTCAGGCCGGGCCGCAGGGCAGCGGCAGGCAGCTCAGGAAGCCGTGGAAGCGGCCGTCGGCTGCGCAGCGCAGCACCTGGCGGCTGTCCTCGTAGCCTGCGGCGCAGACGGGCGAGCAGGTGGAGTTGTAGGAGATGCCCTCGCAGTCGATGCTGAGAATGTTTGCCTGCAGAGTATCTAAGGTCGGTGACGTGCAGTTGATGTCCATGCAGACCTGGCTCGTAGACAGAGGCTCAAGGCTCCCAGATGAGCTTCGCTCAACTATCTGCGTCACTGCACTGGAGGACACTCGCTCAGTCAGGTAGATGATGTCAGGGTAGGTGCTCTCCGCGTAGGCACATCGGAGCTCCACCGTCGGAACGGGCTGCTGGTAGCTGGCGTGGCAGCGGAGTGAGCACGCCGCTCCGACAGGAACGAGTAGGTAGCCCTGGGAGTCCTCCGCTAGCTGGACCTGCCTCCCCTCCAGAACGCAGTCGTAGGCACCACCTGGGTGTGGATTCAAGCGGCACGGAAGGTCCACGCAAGTCAGGTTTGACCCATGCAGGCCCAACAGATCAAAAGATCCATCCTTGCAGACGTAGTCCTCCTCCAGCACACTATCGTTTGCTGGCACTCTGGGGCTGCGACAGGTCTCCCTGAAAATCGCGCCCTCATTTGCGATTGGGAGCTCCTCTGGATTGCACGGGTTCGCAATGTGGATGCCCATGGAAGCGCACGTGCTCATGTGTGCATCAATGTTCGTGAGCAGTGGGCAGCAAGACTTGCTGAATAGACACAGAGGTGCCCGTGCAAGCTCATGGCAGCTCTCGTTTGAGCTGATGGTCTCGGGAACCACCGCCAGACAGCTCGCTGTGGCACTCGCCACGTCGCAGGTCTCGTCCACCAACGTCTCGACACATGCGTTCTCAACTTGCAGTCCCACTCCTAAGCAGCTGTCGATGCTTCCTGAGATTGGTGTCTGGGCATCCGCGCAGCAGTGCACGCTTTCTAAGCATGCGATGGCAGAAGGCAAAGCCACGCAGAACAAACCGATGTCGGTTATCGACATCACTGACTGCAGACAGATCTGCGCCTGGATTGTGTCACACGGCGCCGTAGACGTCGTGGTCGTTGTAGGTACAGTCGGCGATGCCCAGTACCCAAATTCATAACCAACAAACGTCGCACGCGTTCTCACATCTGCAGCACCCGGTACATTCTGGCATGGGGCAATACAGCGCGGAGGATCAGCCCCATCAGCTAGCCAAAGACCATTCACACAAGTCAGTTGTCCAGTGTGCGAGAAGCCGTTGGTACAGTTGAATGGACAAGAGGAGCCGTTGAGATTGTCTAGGCCACAATCTTGTATCGCTGTTGCAGGAAGTAGTCCTGGAGTCAAGGCGCTGCAGGTGTAGGGGAAGGATGGGCTGGACGAAGGGCAGCTTATCCCACCGAGCAGATTCTGGAAGCCTTCCAGAGCCAGGAAACCCTTGGCCAGCACTGTCATGGAAGAGAAGTCTAGGGAGCTCAAGAAAACTTCAACAATCACTGTCTCGTTTTTGGAGCTCGCAAAGAACACCCGCGAGCCAAACTGCCACGCGCTCTCGTAGGTTCCGCTGGGAATTCCCTCAATTGCGAAGGATTGAAAACCGGAGCCCTCGCGCCAGAGCAGCAGCCCTGAGGGCACCAGGGTTGCAACGTAGGTCCTCATACCAGAGCCATCAAGATCCGCTGTGTATGCAACGATGCCACCCACCTCGGTAGGCTCGATACCATGTGAAACGAGGGCAGACCACGTCTGGTTGGAGGGCGCCGCATCAAAGCCCGAAAGTGAAGCGATGCCATCCAGAGAGCTGATGGATGTATTGCCCGCGACATAGAGTGCGCCATCACTCCGAAATGCCACTGACCGAACACTTGTGCCATTGGGCAGGCGCGCGACGTATTCAGATTGATTTCGGGCGAACCGTGCGACAAACACGTCGCTACCGTACGTGACGATACAGTATAGGATCGAGTCCTGGGGGTTTACTCCGCAGGCGTTGACGAGACCAGCTCCCACCTCTAGCTGAAAAAGTGGCTGCCAGGTGGCATTTGGGAATAACCCGGCTATCTCAAACCTGCCCTCATCTCGTAGTGCGAAGACCGTTGATTCGTCGAAGCTGCAGTCAAAGGTGCTGATCGCTGCGCAGGAGGTCAGGATACACAGCCGAAGTATGAAGCAACAGACAGCTTGCAGCACCGGCTGCCGATGTGTACCCATGAAGCGATGCAAACATGAATTTGTTCTTCTGGCTGAGAGTTCACATGCTTTGGCTGGGCTGAGGTGATTGTTCACATTGTTCTCGCGTGAGTGGCTAAGTCTGGCTGAGCTATCCAAATCTATCCAAGCTTGAGTGTAAGCACTGACGAGCACCGATATCTTCAGTAAGTTTAAGACTTCGTGTCACTATCGATTTCGAAGTTTCGATCTAGCCCTGGAACATGGATATCGGTGCAACGAAGGAATGCCTTAACTGGATGTACCGACATTGGCGTTCTAGCAGGCTGGATTCTGATGCAGCCATCTCCTGTGGCCAAGTCACTAAGGGTGATTGATGCCATCTGGTCAGTTCTCTAAACTAGGATCTTTTTTTGGGGCACCCGAAATCAGAGGGGCCGCCTTATCACGAGAACCCCAAACAGGACCATATTTCAGAGAAGTGACCATCTATCTTTACCGTCCCAGCTTGAGGATGATCACAGAAGGTCTCGGGCGCTCGAGTCGCAAGCCAACAACCCCTACCACAGCCCCAGCGCTTCAGTTCGTAGCTGTCCAGGCCCTACAAGCAATGCACAGGCTCAGCTTTTGCGCATGGGTCGCCTTAAGTCATGATGATACTGGGAGGGCACGATGGCTTCCTTGGTGTCATTCACAGGGCAATCGTGTGCTGAACTAGTCGGAAAACTCACCGCTGTGGTCATCTTGCCCATGCAACGCGTCACATTCGCAGCGAAAGCAAAGAAAGTGCGAAAGCAACGAAAGTACAAGAGCAGGTGCGACAACCAGTCTGCTTGCGCTGCATCTGCATGCACATGTGAGGCGCAAGCACCTCTGGAAACTCGCTTTTCAACATCTCGCAACTCCGACAACTCCCCTGAAGCCACAAAACCCAGAGATCTGCCAAGAGCTCACTGTCGCATAATGGCTGAGCCCCACAGGGGATCACTGAACAGAAACAAGCCTTGTCTCGGAGAAGCTTGAAAAGCATCGAGAGAGGGACTCTTTTACCGGCCCTAGCTCAGGAAACCCTGGCAGCGCGCCGACTCTTCTTGGTCAGTCCGCGCCGCTTGAAAGCTACGAGATCCCAGGCGGGATCCCTCGTCGCCCCGAGTCAGAACTCTGGCTCTCCAGGATGGGTTTTACTTGGCTTTCATGGGGTTTCTGAATGGCGTTATAGGGTTCGGAGGGGTTATAGGGCTCATAGGGCGTGTAAGGCTCACAGCATTTAAGAGGGCTTTGTGGAGCTCCTCTTGTTTGTGATCCACTTTCGAGGGCCGGAGGGTTCTCGTTTTGCTACAAACCACAAGACTTCTTCAACCCTCCAAGACACCCCCGACAGCCCTAAACACGAAACCCCAAGCCCTAAAGGCTTCGGATGTTTCCTCTTATACTAACAGTCCTTACTAGGGATTTTGGATCCCTATTAAGGGATGTTAGTACAAGGGGGAACATCCCTGCTCCACTCTCTTCACGGGAGTGCGCGGTAAGGCAGTGAAGTGAATGAAATGGACGAACGAACGGACGCGTGCATGACTTTAATATTTAAAAAAGTGTGAACAGAACGAAGAGAGAATGTGAACACCAAAAGCCTGCGAACTAGAGTACCCGGTACCAGCTTCCTGGTCTTGGAGATACGTTCATATTGCACCTATGCTTTGGTCTTGGAAATCCGTTCGCTCATTCACTGCGCTTGCAACATTAAGTTCGTGCGCCACTTTCATTCTCTTACTTCTCATCTGGTGCTTAAAGAGCGGGTGAAAGAATGAACAAAAGCAAAGTGAACACCTGGCAATGTGGAGATTAATTTCGTGCGTTGCGTGCACTCTGATCAGTATTCTTATTCTTGGAGAGCACACGTTAAAAATGCAATCGCGCGACAACAATGGATACACGCGATAAAGAAGATAAAGAAGACATATTTCGTATGGGGCCTTTTTGCCCCAAGAATATAATCATATAATGCTACGGGAAAATAAATTTACTTATTGTTGTTGCTTGCCTGCATAATACGAAAAATACTATGCACAGAACCCAACCCTGCAAAACGCAGGCCCGTATTGTGTCTCTTTCTGATTTTTAAAATTATAAGGATAAAGGGGTGAACAGAAAGACGCAATAAAGTAGTTTATTAATAGGGATACAAATGAACTATATTACGCGGTAGAATCTTATTAATAATCTCACGTGCAACAAGACATCTTTTTGCTACTGCATGCGTATCAGTACGATGTCCTTCATTTGGGACACTTCTAGGCGGGCACAGTGAACAAGAGAGCAAAGTTGGGGCAAGCAGGCAATATAGGGGCCTGCATAATTAGAACAGGGTTTTGGGGTTATTATAGTATAATTACAAAGGGGCCATAAGGGAATACTAGTAGTAATTATTCCGACCCCTTTAGTACATCCCTTAAGATGACGGGTGAGCTCCCTAATGGCAATACCCTGTGAGCTAGGAAGCTAGTGAATTGCCAAAAACTGATGGTTGGTTCGTTCCTGAACAATCCAACGACGAAAGAGAGGCTCTCTTTCAAGTACAGCGGAAGGAGAGGTTGGCTCATTGCATGCAAGTTTGAAGGCAATGAAGGTTCCTGTTCAACTATACATGACTTGGAGCTAGGTACCCCCATTGGCGAGCCTCCTCATGGAAATATAGTTTCTACCTTCAGGAGCACTGTACTTAGACTTAGTGTCGCTACAGGAAATGGAGTGCCGATTGTTTTGACTGTGGGCTCGTATGACTTGCGTCATCCGCGCAGGCTCGGTGAGTAAAAAGGCGCTGGCCACAGGTCTATGCCAATGCGTTGGCCAGCAGCGACCCACGCGCACTGCGGATGAACAAGCACCCAAACAAGCAGAGCAGAGGCTGCACAGCTTGTGGCCACTCTGCTGAGCGCCGGCCCGACAAACCACCAGGGCACGAAAGCGGGTCAGGACACGATGGATATGAATAGGTCCTCAATAGGCTACCAATAGATCATGTTTTCTAGCGGGCACTTATCCCTCGCAACAAAATGAAGTCCTCACATTAAACATTAAACAAATAAACCCAATACATACCCTGAACTCGATTAGTGGCTACGGCACATGCTGGCACTTGCATCTAAGCAGGGGAGATGCCCCACTTTTGACGGATCGCGCCTCTCTGTTGCGCATGTCAGCGGGGGGGTTAATTCTACTTTCGGGAACCCTGTTCACACAAGGAACCCCATCAACCTCGAAAAAAACAATGCCTTTTTTCCTTTGCGGGGATGAACTTGGGAAGCTAGGGGTGGCAACTGAAGCGCAGATTGGGGCTAAGCTAAAGATCAAGTTCTTGTAACAAGCGCCTTTCTGCCAGAAGCAATCTTTGACTTAGGACCTAGGGAGTTTACGACCATACCAATCAGCATTGCAGCAGCCAAAATTTCTACACCTCCAGCATAAGCACATGCAATATCAGGTGATTATGAGAAATCTTCCCTTCGTGCTTGGGGCCGGGCACTCAATCTTATTTCTTTGGCGCGGGGTCCTCAACTTCAAGCCGGTCAGCAAGAGCATTGACCCCGCATCACGTTGTGCATTCAAACAGTTGCAATAAAGTCGAAAGATGCTTAGCCTCTTGTGCGTGTGTGACGCGGATGTTGTCAATCTGAACCTGTCAGTTCTAGCTGCTAGTCGATTCGAGGATGGCTTCACCCATACCGCGCCCACCGAATTTCAAACAACATTCTCAACATCTCATGCGCAGTTTCCTGTCGTGGTGCATGGTGCCTCCCAGCACGATCAGCACTGAATCAATGAGACAAAGGTGCCTGCAACAAGATCCTTCTCAAATTGGAGCTTTGGAAACTGGGCACGTCAGCCATCCTCCCCCTTCCGCAAAGTCCTGAAGAGACAACGGCTTGAACGGCTCGGGCGCTGAACCAGTGCTTGGGGCTTGGGTTGCACTTCTCTACTGGTAGCTGGCGCAGGTGTGCAGGGTGGACAAGCTGGTTGGCTCGTGACCCCGCAGGAAGTGTACGAAGTGTACATGTACTTGTTTGCCAACATTCTCCATCACAGGCCCCTCCTCAGCCGCACGTCCACAAGTATTTCTCTGCGAAAGACACGCGCTTCCTATGGTATGTTGCAATCCACTAGATAACAGCAACGTAGCCTAAGCCCACTGTGAGCAACAGGGTTCGACACGACAAAAAAATCGAATCCCCCTTCCCGCCAGCGAATGGCTTGCGAACGCTTTGTGCACGCTTTGTCTCCGAACCCCGCAACCAGGAAACGAGAAACCTTGTGTCACATCTTGGAAGGAAAAACAAGGCAGCCAAGCCCGGATTGCCTGCTCTACTGCAGGAGCATCATGGCCAGGGTTGAGAGAATCGCGATGAGCACGGGTCTGGCAGGGACGCGCAGGAACGTCGACATTCCAAAGCATGCCAAGGACGCGTCACAAGACCTCCACCTCAAAAGAAAACACTCTGGGAACGAGGAACTGCCTGTCTGGTGAGCTGCTGGTGAGGAGGAACTCCTCAGCTGGTCACAACTCCGCATCACTTGGATGCAAGGGAATTCCAATTCGCGTGCCAGATCATGCCAGATCTGTGTCAACTTCAGGCCAGCTTCTGTAGTCGACATTGTTGTCGATGTTGAGCTAGTAGCAGTTTCCTGGTGGAGCGAATCTTCAACAACAACATCTTCAGCCACTTCAGTCCAAGGTTAAAACGTAAAACGGTGAGAAATCAGCAACACCATGTGACCCCCATCGCCAAGTCTCCGAGCTGGTGGCATTTCCGTCAGCCATCGATGTGCTTCCTTCCGTTGACGTTGTGCCAGCCTGAAAGTCTCAAGCTCAAGGAAGATTCGCTGACGCTCGATGGCTTGGATGTGGGTACATAAGCTCAACCCCCACATGTTGCCGTCTGTATGCCAAAGCGCGCTCTGTGTGTATATGTATATATAGATATACATATATATATATATTTATTTATTTATTTTTATTGATGTATTTATTTATCTATTTATTTATTTATTATTTATTTGTATTTTTGTTTGTATTTAAGTATTTGTCTATATCTATATTTATATTTATATTTATATTTACATGTATATTTATATTTATGTTTATCTGTATAACTATATTTATATCTATCTATTTATGTATACTTATATGTATATATTTATATTTTATATTGTATCTATATTTATAGTTATATTTATATATTTTTTTAATTTGTATTTATGTTTCTAATTTTCTATAGTTGTATTTATATTGAAATCTATATTTATAACATATCTATATCTATATTTATATTTCTATTTCTATTTTCATTTTGAAAAAATAAGTGTATATATATATATATGTGTGTATTACCTTACTATATCATACTCTACTCTACTATACTCTACTATACTCTACTATACTCTACTATACTCTACTCTACTATACTATACTATACTATATATACACATAACAAATTAATATCCAAATATTGTTTATACACTTCATAAATATGTAGAATACATATTGTACATACAGGTATGGCTTTTTGTTCTTTTTATAATTTGTTATATTCGTATTATGATTCATGATGATACTTCTATTTCTCTGGACAATGCTCCCACCCGTTTCTGCGCCAAGGCACAGCGGTCGTTGTCGTCGTGGTCGTCGTGGTCGTGGTCGTGGTCGTGGTGGTCGGGGTCGTGATGCCCTAGGCAAGGTAGCCAAAGTTGATCTGCCTAAACCCTAAACCCTAAACCCTAAACCCTAAACCCCAAACCCTAAACCCTAAACCCAACCAGAATCTCTAATGAAGCTCAGCTGCCAGAGCCGCCTCGCAAGCAAACAGGGGCGGGCATACACGCTCTAGCCTCTCAAAAGTCCTATGAGAACCCGTTTGGGCTTAGTGGGTTTGGGTTTAGGGTTTAGGGGTTTAGGGTTTAGGGGTTCAGGGGTTTGGTGTTTAGGGTTTAGGTTGTCACGTTTAGAGTTGCATAGTTGTACAAGAACAAGGAGATCATGTTGCTCATGAATCAGCCTCCTCAACCCCATAGAACCGGAACCCCTGCACCCGGCAAGAAAGGACCCCTCGTCCGCCTTTGTCTTCTCCTGGACCGCCTCGACACGCGACTTGACTTGCTGAGTCTTGGAGGTCATGGCCACGCCAGCCTACGAAGCCGAATCCCTCAGCCTACGAGAGAGGGGGAGGCGGGGGAGGAGCGCTGAAGGGGTTTGGAGGTTTTGGGTTTGGGATTTTGGGGCCTTATGGCGTCTGGACTTCATGGGTTGAGGGCTTGGGGCTCGCCAGCAAGTGGCAGGGTGGGGCAAGCGAACTGGGAAGCAGAACAATGATAAAAAAAGTGTTTCAAGGAATTTAGTTAACATAAATGATTTAATTGATGCAAACTAAGAGTAATTTAAGTGTCCAGATTCCTGGCCCCTGACCCGAAAAATAGTTGAATTAATGCAAAAAACTTTGCTAATTTACTTAATCTACTTAGTTCAAGTACTTGAATTAATTGAATTCGTTTAAGTAATTAATAATGTAAATAATTTGTTTACATTAATTGAACTGGCCATCAGTTAAAATAATTACATCACTTAAACAAATTAAACTCTCAAACAAAGGGGATCCTAGAGCGCAGACGGTAAGGAACGTAGCGCTTAGGGCTTAGGGCTAAAGGTTTTGGGCTTAAGGTTTCTTTAACAAGAGAAGGGTTTCCATTTTGCAGTTGCACAGTGCGCCTGGCAAATCGAATCATAAGAACAGTACACAAAATAATAATATGAAATCTAGGATTGTCAGTATCCTAATTCTCTCTCCAAGAGAAAGAAACGGTAGGACCTTCATCAGATTTGATATGAGATGTCATGGGGTAATTCTGCCGGTGATGAGAACTGCCCTTGACCAACTCTATACTTTTAAAGTGAAAGCGGTTATCTAATCATCTTGTAGTTGTGTAACGTAGTTGCTTACAGTTCCTGCATGAGGATGCATGCAATCCGACGCACCCTCATCCGATGTCAACTCTGTTGGGTCTAAATAAGATTTGATCGGAGAGAGGGGAGGGGGAGGGGGGGCGGGGTTGCTCAAAGCCGAAGCACCCCAACCACTTCACCCCCAAAAAAACAAGAAGAGCGCCAAGTAAACCCTGTGTCCCCAAGAGGACCTGCCTCACTCAAATAACGAATCCCGGGTTTGAAACATTGGGACGCCGAAAAGGTCCAGAAGGATCAGCAGCTATTCACGTGCCCCTTGAACCCTACACCCTAAACCTAAACCCTAAACCCTAAACCCTAACCCTAAATCCTAAACCCTAACCCTAAACCCTAAACCCTCAACCCTCAACCCTAAACCCTAAAGCCCAAGCCCTAAACCCTACCCTGAGAAGGGACAGAGGGCTTTGGCTTCCAAAGGGCCTTGGTGTCCACATTTCCCATGGAAGACAAGGCGTTCACCATGCCGGCACTGCTACTCTTGACCTGGCTGGGCGTAAGACTGGCTGGTTCTTAGTAGGTTATGAGGGAGTGAGGTACCCTATATAATCCCTTAAAGGGTATATGTATATATATATATATATATGTACATATATGATCCCTTAAAGGGTATATATCTATATACGTCTATATATATATATATATATTTGTTTATTTATTTATTTATTATATACATATACACGTAATTTCGGGCTGGTTTCCGGCTTCAGGTCCAGGATGTAAGGCTAGTAAACCTCAGAATCAGAACCGAAAACTTCTGCATGCACTCTCTCTTCGCCAGAGATCGTGATCTGCGTGGAGATGTTTGGGCTGCGAGGGGATCTGTATGACTGTATTCAAGAGGCCAATTCAGCACCCCCGCGTGCTTCAATTCAGGAGTGGGTGAACCATGTTTACCGCACCTTTCCCGAACAGCACAACCTGGATGGTCGCCACTTAGGAAGGGACAGAGGCAAAGTAAATTTCTGGCAAGGCAGGAGAAGTCTGTTCTTTGGGGCACCTAATCACCCTAGAAGACACGCCGTTCTGATGCACTGATGTAACGACACATGGTGTGTGCAACGTTGCCGTTGTTGTCTTACGGGCAACGCTCGCAAACAGACATGCCGATTATTCCGGGGGCACCTGCTTCTTCATCTGTTCCGCCACGGCTGATGGTGAGACAGATGTAGCTCCTGGCTAGACCCAGGCGATCTATGACAATCACGATAATTACCGCAGCTGCCTTGAACTATATTCGCAATACCGCTTCTCTTGCTCTGAACCGGAGGTCCTGCATTTGAGATGCTGTACCTCGGCTAGCGATGCCAGCATCGCAGTCAGAACATCAAAATGATTGTAGCCAATTGTAACAAATCGTATCATCGACAGTCGCTGCTACAACCTTGAATACATGCAACTCACGCAACCAGAGTGACCCTGAGAACTTCGAAAACCGAAACAGGTTCCTAAACATCCCCACGACTCCCTACACATCCCCCCACCCACAAACCTTCAGTAGGTTGTTGGCCTCTAAGCTAAGTGAGGATTTCCTAAGGTATTGGGGTCCTTCTAAAAAGGACTGTTGGGGGGAACATAGTAAGGGCCCCTAAACCCTAAACCCTAAACCCTAAACCCTAAACCCTAAACCCTAAACCCTACTATGGGGGGGAAACTATCCTAAGGGTACCCCTATCTTCGTCAAAGTGGCGACAGTACGGAGCCGCTCCCCGAGAGCCACCGGCCACCGAGGCGTCGGGCGCCGCCCTTCAGGGCCAGCGAGGACTGGAGCCTGGGACTCAGGCGGATGCCGAAGCCCTGGATGCACGCTTTCTCCAGGGATCTTCGGGAATTTAGGGTTTACAGTAGGGTTTAGGGTTTAGGGTTTAGGGTTTAGGGTTCAGGGTTTGGTTGGGTGTGACTTTGGGGTTGCTTAGGATTGAGGGCTTCAAGCTTGGAGGTTTGGGGTTGAGCGATTTTGCGGGCCCTTGCACCCTAATTTCCCCACCCTGCTCTTGACCTTTGCTGGTGGAGGCACCCACTGGGCAGCTGCAGCTGGGCGTTCAGCAGGACCCGCGCGTCCTCCAAAATGGGCGACCCAGGGCCCAAGAAACAATAGTTGCCGGACGGCGCACGCTTCCGCATGCTTCCACAAGTTAGAGCACATCGCTCATGTGAATTTCTGACACCAAACACTCCCGAAATGCGCGCCTCGGACTTGCCTTGAGCATCCGAACTGGTCCTCACTGGGACGTCATTGCGCGTCTGCGGGGGCCCGCGCCATTTCTCGCACAATCGACACATCGACTGTGATTTCGATGTGTTCTAAGCTACTGCAGAAGGCTCAGAGCTGAGTCCCATGCGTCGCAAGCGTCAAGATCCTGGGCTTGGGCGGGGGATGGCAGGGGTTCAAGGCTGAAAGCGTCAAAGGGCTTTTAAGACCTATTCTGAATGTTTCTGACATTCTCAGATTCTCGGCCCTAGTCAACATTGCTGACGTCCCTGCTGATTCGGATGCCCCGGCTGGCCCAAGCGTCACTGTCGACGACTGCTTCTCACCGCTGCTGACGGCGGTGGAGTTGCCGCTGCTTCCAGTGTTGTAAAGGTCCTGCCATACATATATATATATATATATATGCTACCCCCCCCCCCCATGGACCTACCAATTTCCTTGGGTAAAACCAATGTTTTCCATGATTTTCGTGATCTGAGGCTCTCTCCCAGCCACCATTTCTCGAGGTAGTACCAAGCAACAAACTCGAATCCTGCAAAATCTCGAGGGAGTACCAAAACCTCCTTATAATCAATCACGCCCCAATATGCAAGACATGACATCTGTCCTAAAAACACTACCTTAGCTACGATATCTCAAACAATCATCCCCCGATAAGCAAGACCTAATATCTATACTAAACCTGTACCTTAGCAACATATCTTAAGACATCACGCCCTAAGGCTCCTACCAATTTAATAAGGTTCCTATCAATTTCAACAGGATTCTTATGCATGTTACTGGGATTCGCATAGGATTCTCATTAATTTTAAAGGATTCCTATTGGATTAGGCTCATACTAGTTTAGTAGGATTCCTATCAGTTCTTGTTAAAGGATTCTATTGTTTTTTAAGGCCTATTGGTTCCTATTGATTTAGAAAGATTCCTTCTTGTTTTAATAGGATTCCTGTGACTTGTAACCCGGGTTGTTTCCAACTTGTTAAGGTTCCTATTCATTTTAATAGGCTTCCTATTAACTGTTGTCCGGTCCCGATAATTCAATAGAGGATTCCTATTTACTTTCATAGGATCCCAATCAAGTTTCATAGGGTTCCTAATTATTAATAAGGCCCCTATTTTCTGTAATAAGAGTCCTATCAATTTTAATCAGACTCTTATTCATGTTAATGGGGTTCGTGTTAATATTAAAGGGATCTCATTCACTTTCAAGGGATTCCTGTTGGTTTAGGCTCATGTTCATTTTAATCGGTTTGTCTAAAGGTTCACGTTATTTCTTATAGGAGTCCGATTGGTTCCTATTAATTTGAGTAGGGTTCCTCTTCAGTTTAATAGGATTCCTACAAATCCTATTAATTCTACGAAAATGTTGGGAGAGTACCAAAACCTCCTTACAATCAATCACGCCCCAATACGCAAGACATGACATCTGTCCTAAAAACACTACCTTAGCTACGATATCTCAAACAATCATCCCCCGATAAGCAAGTCCTAACATCTATACTAACACTGTACCTTAGCAACATATCTTAAGACATCACGCCCTAAGGCTCCTACCAATTTAATAAGGTAGGATTCTTATGCATGTTACTGGGATTCGCGTAGGATTCTCATTGATTTGAAGGGATTCCTATTGGATTAGGCTCATACTAGTTTTGTAGGATGTTAGAGGATAAAAACCATGATTTTTCAAACTACTCGGAGACCCAAGCCCATAGTTTGGAAAATCATGGTTTTTATGGTTTTTATTGGTTTTTGCGATGTTTCGTGAGCATGGGCTCAAAAAACATCGGTGAAACCAATGTTTTTTTGAAGGTAGGGGTTCAAAAACATCGGTAACACCAATGTTTTGGAGAGGCCACCTTCAAAAAACATCGGTAAAACCAATGTTTTTGGAGCCCCTGCTCAGGAAACATCGCAAAAACCAATAAAAACCATAAAAACCATGATTTTTCAAACTACTCGGAGACCCAAGCCCATAGTTTGGAAAATCATGGTTTTTTATGGTTTTTATTGGTTTTTGCGATGTTTCGTGAGCATGGGCTCAAAAAACATCGGTAAAACCAATGTTTTTTTGAAGGTAGGGGTTCAAAAACATTGGTAAAACCAATGTTTTTGGAGCCCCTGCTCAGGAAACATCGCAAAAACCAATAAAAACCATAAAAACCATGATTTTTCAAACTACTCGGAGACCCAAGCCCATAGTTTGGAAAATCATGGTTTTTATGGTTTTTATTGGTTTTTGCGATGTTTCGTGAGCATGGGCTCAAAAAACATCGGTAAAACCAATGTTTTTTGAAGGTAGGGGTTCAAAAACATTGGTAAAACCAATGTTTTGGAGAGGCCACCTTCAAAAAACATCGGTAAAACCAATGTTTTTGGAGCCCCTGCTCAGGAAACATCGCAAAAACCAATAAAAACCATAAAAACCATGATTTTTCAAACTACTCGGAGACCCAAGCCCATAGTTTGGAAAATCATGGTTTTTATGGTTTTTATTGGTTTTTGCGATGTTTCGTGAGCATGGGCTCAAAAAACATCGGTAAAACCAATGTTTTTTGAAGGTAGGGGTTCAAAAACATTGGTAAAACCAATGTTTTGGAGAAGCCACCCTTTTTTGAAACAAAAAAGGTAGGTCCATGGGGGGGGGGTACCATATATATATATATACATATGTTTCTATCTATACACAGACAGATTACCATACATATACATATATATATATATATCTGCGTCATTGATGGATACGGATGGTCGCCACTTCTCATGACAAAGCAGCTCCTGGCACTGCTTGCCTGCCGGGATAACGGATCCGGATGGGCCTTTGCTTTGTGGCTGCTGGTTCTTACGGCTCAGCTTGCCAAGGGACTTCGTCTAAAACCAGTCTCTGAGCCCCGAACACTTTTTCATGTTGCGCCCTGGAACACACCTGTCCGGCAGCAGGCAGCCTTAGCGTCTTCCAAAAACAACGGTTCTCTGCCGGGTGGGGAAACAAAGCATTGACACAGCATGACCAACGGCCAACATTCTTCACATCCACTGCGTGCTGAGGCGCTGATTGTCTCGGCCGCAAACTCACCGGCCATGGTGAGATGAGTCCTTGACGCAAAGATCCAACATATCTAAAAGCAAATGACGGGAGATCTCCCAGAAGCAATACAAAGAATGGCTAATGACTAACCTATGGAGTACCGGACAGCTCTCAGCGATGACGGCTCAGCAATGATGCCATGGCTCTGGATGCAAGTCTTGTTGCCAGCAGTTTCATCAGCGGGCGTGCAGGGCCTTGGGCACGAGTTCAGCAGCGTACCTCGAGCAATGAGGTCTTAGGCTCAGCATGTCTGCTGCCTGGGTGTTGCTATTAATTTGTCCTGCAGCAACTGGCCAAGCTGCCGCTGAATTTCGGATTGCAGATGTTTGCATCTGCGTCCTTGGCAAAGTCAGGACTCGCTTAGATCACTCACCATAGTGAGCCTTGCCAGAGTAAGAACGCCCAGAAAAAGAACGCCAAGCTCTCTTGTGCAAGTTCCTGCCAGGCACCTCACCTACGCCCGACGACACAACGAGGGCGTTTACTTCGCCCCCAGGCTGGTAGGCTTCGGTCCTCCTAGTGCTCGAATGAGAAAGAAAGGTTTGGCGAAAATACTTTGTGAAACTTCGGTTCTTTGGTGTAGGTGCTGGGGGCGCAGAGGACATCGATGTGCATGGTGCAGTGTGATGAAGACTAAACTCTTTTGCCGGCTTCTGAGACGGCTTCTGCGCGCCAGCTCTACATCGGCATGCATCAGCTCCAGGCAAAGCAACACAGAAGATGAGCTGAGGGTCGTTTGGATCTGGGCAAGTCAGCCTTAGCTTGCCGCTTCATCAATTTCGGGAAGCGAGTATGCGAGCATTCGTAGTACTTGTTCATTCGTGCTTCCTCTCTCGGAACCTGCAAGCCTGCTGCCCAGCAGCGTGTTGTTGCCGCACGGGCACTTAGTACTCAGGCTGACACAGCGCGTGGAGATTCCCGAGACTTTGCCTGCAACTGCGTGGCTTGCAGAAGATGCGCCTTCACCGGCTACTAGCATAAAACGACTCTTCGCATCAGGCGGCTCATGCCTAACATGCAACAAACCTCGCATGGCATGGAACGCGTTCCTGGACAGCCAATTCGACCCAGAAGGGCCCTCGCAATAGCAATTCTTTACGCGCAACGGCTCCGTGGCTCACATGACTCACACGGCCTGTGGACGTGAAGTCTTTCACGTCGCATTGCTTCTGTGACTCGGTGCAAGGGCACAGCACCTGCGTCTGAGACCTGAGCACAACGGGGCGCAACTTTGGATCCTTTGGATGCCTCTTCTGCAGATTATGAAAGGTCATATACTGTCATACAGTGCCAGGGCATACCGCCCCCTTCCCCACCGTTTGTTCCTTTCGGGTTGAACGAAGAAACGACATGTGACGTGCTGGGAGTTGGGTTCAAGGGCATGGACACGAGAGTCCTGCTCACCTGTAGGAATTACTGAGGGCCTGGGCCTCCCGCGGCTCCTACCCCCTTAACCCTGAAAGCTACCTACGCAAACCATCGGGACCCCCTACAGCAGTTCGGACCTTTTCGAGGGAAGTAGAAAAACGATAATCCTATTCTATTAACTGCATTATAGCAAACCTTCGACAAGTTAAACACTATATTTGCTGTAGTCGATCTACTTCATGTTTCCATATTATGTTATGAAACAAATTACATATATATATATATATATACATAAACTGTTATGTATACTATACTATGTTCTATCATGCTAGATTCTATTCTGTTAGAATGCATTATTTTGTCATAGGCTCTGTAGATAACAGAGGGCCCTGCTTCTTATATGGTATCGTAGTCGAGTATTATGGTATACATGTCCTATAACATATTATTACAGATTCTAGTATCTTTGAAATACGCAATTTGCCATACTGTAGCGTAATTGTGAGCATCATGGGATCCATCCTGACCCTGGGCGAGGCCGATAGACTAGGGAGCAGGCGTTGGCAAGCAAAGGTCGTCGCCTGGGCACCGGCGCGTGTTCCTTAGTGCCACGCACCGCGGATGAGTGCATATGAGTACCAACTTCGGCGTCACGAACATGGAGGGTCGCTGAAGAGCTCGGACAAGACTCACAAGACCAGAAGAGTAATGACTGAAGGATGGGCCGCCTGAAGGTCCTCCCTCTCCCCCTAGGCATACTGTACCGGGGCCGAGCATCTTGCCACACGGGCATTTGGCATTTTCGGCCACACAGATTTCGCGCTCGCCTGAGAAACGATGCACCCGCAACCGCTACCCATGAGCCTTCAAAGCGGTCTTTGCAAATAAAGGTGGGAGCCGGAACATACACACAGGCAGGAAGAATCCGGAGAATTCTGTACCAAAGTTGAACACAAATCCCCTTCAACATCCTTCAACCATCTTCAACCCCATCAGCTGAGATCCAGACCAAGGTAATCCTCGTTCTCAGCGAAATCATAAACGAAGCACTTCTTTTCGTTCGCTTTGCAGGTGACTGGACAAGACTCGTCCTGCCAGGCAGAGACCCCCCCGCAGCGGGAACCCTGAATCCGAGCCACTGTCCCGTAATCTGCTCAGCGCACCTTGAAGATGCAGCCCATAGCCCCGCCACAATTCCTCGGGCCACCGCTTCAACTCAGCAACGAAACTTGCCAATGAACTTTGCCCCCCCCCCCCAATTGCTAGCAGCTGCTAGCAACATCCCTCCGGCCCCATTGTGTTGAAGCAAGAGAGAACAGCGTGCTGCCCTTCTTTTCTTGCCCCCTCTTTTGGACGAGGCCATCCCTGCCGGCACCAAGGGCCCAAGAAAGGGTGCCACTGCTAGGCAGCCGGGCTATTGGCACAGAAGAGCCTCTTGAGTGTAACAAACAAAACGCAACAGCGACTCCAGCAACCATGAAGGAACCCTGAACCCTGAACCCTGAACCCTGAACCCTAAACCCTAAACCCAAAACCCTAAACCCCAAGCAGCCACCCTAAACCATGTTGTCGGGCCGAAGCTTCTTCGCCATCTTCCCGCAGGGGCAGGCTTCCATGCTCGCCGCGCAGTGCACCGAGGGCTGCGACGTACCTCGCGACATCTCTTCTTGTTGTAGGGTCTAGGGTCTAGGGTCTAGGGTCTAGGGTCTCGGGTCTAGGGTCGGTCTCGGGTCTAGGGTGTAGGGTGTAGGGTCTACGGTCTAAAATCTAGGGTCTAGGTCTAGGGTCTAGGGTCTAGGGTTTAGGGGTTTAGGGTTTAGGGGTTTAGGGGTTTAGGGTTTAGGGTTTAGGGGTTTAGGGGTTTAGGGGCTTAGGGGGTTTAGGGGTTTAGGGGTTTAGGGGTTTAGGGGTTTAGGGTTTGTGCTGAGAATGGCTGTGACTGCTTGCTGGAAAATTACGCTGAGAGCTACTTCTATGCTTCTCCGCTTCCCAAGTGACCCCTGCGCCCCCGGCCTGCCCACAAGCCATCGGGCCGGTAGTCCTCAGGGGACGAGGCTCTCTCGGCTGCGGGGTTCCACTTAGGGCTTATAGGGCTTAGGGTTAAGGATTTAGGGTTTCGGGAACCATGCTCCGCGGGTACAGGTTGCCCTTAAGCTTCAAGCTACCTTCCTACTCAGATCTCAAGAGCATGTTCGCCGCCCGGTCATCCACTTCAGGACACTGAACTTGGCCAGCGCTGCAGACGGGAGGGCAGTAGCCTGCCGTATCGCACAGGCGCCGCTTGCTTTGATGCTTAGATTGGCTTAGACGCCTACAACCAGAAATCAGGGGGACAAAAAGCTCAGGGGCAGACCGCCATTGATGGGGAGGCACTCGGTGAAGGTCACCCCAGCCTCCTGTGCACAGAGCAGCGAGCTTACCCGAAGGGGCTACAGAAGCTTTGGGCGCGGCTTGTTTTCGGATTTGAATCTTCAGGGCTTATAAGGCCCTGCCAGTAGCAGCTCGCACATCTGCGCCACCAAGGCACCGTGTGGTTGCACGAGAAAGCGTTCTGACCTTTTGCGCAGTCGCAATAGCCTCCCCGGGGAACCTTACACGTGCATGGAGCTTGGGGCTTCGAGCTGGCGCGAATTAGAGACAGTGTGAGTCAGCGAGGGCAAAGTTTCAGAAGATATTGAGAAACTGAGAAACTGAGACCCCTGGATCGTGGCCAAATCACGCCTGCTAGCACTTGGAGATGAGAAATTGAGAGGCTCTGGATGTCGACGCCAATGTCTACATCTTCCCGCACAAACGTCACAAACGGGATAAGACAAAAGGTGCACTGAGGCCCCAAAGCCACAAAATCAAGTATCTTGGGGGGGGGGGGGGGCTGAGGAGGGGGTTGGGGGGGTTGGGGGGGGTAACTGGAAACAACCTCCGAGGCTGAATCTGTGAATCTGGAGCACTACGCACAACACACAAAGACCGAGCGCTACGGAAATGTTTGAGGTTGTCACACCGCCATCAAAAACTATCATATGGCATCCAAGGCACACAGGTCGTCTCCACACTCGCCCAGTCACCGTTAGCAGTGAAGCCTCCCACAGGAATTGTGTGGGGGGGGGGGGGCGGGGGGGGTATCATGGCACATATCATTGCCTGGAAAGACAAGCATGACTCGTGGATCGCCCTTGTGACAGTGAGGTTGGCTTGGGACCCGTCTGAAGTCCGAAGGGCCCATGCTCGATGCTCAAGATGCGCGTTTGAAGTTTGCTGCACCATTTCACAGCTGCAGTCAAAACATCCATCATGACCGCGCGCGCGCGCGAGTTGAATAGGTCCGTTTGTATAACGTTTTATACACCACATCTTAAGCGGCGCCCACATGCCATCATATTGACACCACAATTGACATCATTATGCGGCTCCATGCCACTGCATGCTGTCGTACTGCTTCAGTTCCTTATGGATTAGCCAAGCAGCTATCAATGAAGCACCAGTCCTGCTCGGCCGTGCAGTAGACGGGGCAACGCATGGCACCTCGGTGCTCAAAAAGCCTAAAAAGCTTGATGGCGATTCATGAAATAAGTAAGCTTTTTTGAATGCTTCCACCCAGAAGATCAGCTATCAGACGCCTTCGCTTCTTTTCCTGTGCACGTTTACCGAAGATGCGTCGCACTGCCGGTGTACACGGACGGCACTTTGCTGAGACTTCAGATTGCAGGAGGCAGGCGCTGGAATGCCTTCAACTGCCCATCGGCAGAGCGCACGGTTGATCACGCAGGGTAAGCATCACGAAAGTTGCACCGGCAGCCCGAGATGCAGAAGAACCGCCGGCTAAAAGCTCAAGGGCCGTTCCTCGTAGAATCTCGTCGATCGCAGAGCTGTAGGGGACTGTAGGAGAGCTTGAGGCCGTAGAGTTTGCAGAAGGGCCCAAGGAGCGTCGGGACGCCATGACATGCCCCCAGACCATTTCAGCGAGAAGCGCCTGGTGGGGCCGACTTTCATCGGAACTCAAAGGCTTAGGGTTTCGGGTCCAGTGGTGTTCCTGGGCTGGAGCTTTTGGTGATGTCTATAAGATCTCAGGATCGTGGGAATGAAGACGCGGACTATTTCGGACTTCGCACCCTCTCCCTGCCCCTTAGATCCAGACACAGCCAACTTTCGATTCCGGTGCCGCCTCGCTTCTTGTAGATGCCTTGCTTGGCCAACTCATCAACCGGCAGTCTCCGAATATTCTGGATGTCCTTCGAAGTGATGTCTCGGCCGAGGACAGAGAGCCAAGGGAGGCCAAGCTGTCCTCGAGGGGGAATTGGGGCGGGGGGGGGGTGGCCAGAGTCAGCGACGACAATGTGAACGTTTGTTCTTACCCCCCCTATGACTCCTGTGACCTTCAGAATGACCTTCATGCCCTACGCCCTCAACAATGGCCCGAAGCCATGTACGCTCTAGAGTCACTTCAGAGGAGGGTTGTTTTGATTTTTTTGGCCTGCTTCGTTCATATACATATGTATATATATATATATATATATGTATGTGTATATATATATATATACATATGAATGTATTTCTATTGTAGATGCGGCACCTGCAGTCTTCGAGAAGCCACTCCCGCAGCCGTCATTGCAATTGGTTCCAGGGCTGGGACTCAACAGGATCCCACTCAACGCCAGGAGGTACCAGTCTGCGTAGACCTGCGCAGATTGCGAGTTCTGCAGACTTTGGGTCCCAGGCACTAGCCACTAGCACCTGAGGGGTTTTTCCACGGCTGCGTGAAGTAGACTATGTGGGACCTGTCGAGGCTACCCCAAATCCGAAAAGCCTTCGAAACTCCCAAAAAGCCCCCCAACATTGCCGTTGCAGGTCCTTCTGGATCTCAGCGGAACTGGCTTTCTTGTCCGTCGAGTGCACGGAGAGGCCAGGATTGGTCAGCACCTCACCAGGCAGCTTCTTTGCTTGGGGGGGCTGCTCAGTAGACCGAAGCCCCTCTCAAACCCCCCGAGAGGCCGCGGGTGGTGTGAGTGTGTCCGTGCGCGTCCGCCTTGCAGGTGAGCTTCTTCTCGGCCGCTGTCACTGCTGCCGCACTGTCACTGGCAACGAAGGCCACGGGCCGGGCCTGGGCACCGGACAAATGATCGACTCATAGCTATGAATCTAGGGCCTCGGTGGGTTTTCAGGGAGGTTCTTCAAGGAGCCACAAGGATTTCTGCAGACTTCTTTCTCGACTTGGCCGGGCTACGTCGAGCGGGCGCAGCACCTCGGTGAGGACCTGGAGCAGGTTGTTCACGTGGATCAGGTAGGTGGAAAGAGAGACCTGAGACCGCTTGTCATTGTTGGCTCCGGAAACTCTTCCCAGCTCTTTGCTCATCGTCGTGTCACCCATCCTGAAGTGGATGCCCACAAGGAATGCCTGTTGGCACACGGGGTCATGGGAACTCTGTACCGAGGGTCATGTCAAGGTAATTAAAAAAGCATGCTCTTAGCGCCGCGAGGCCTTCGTGGACGCAAGCTCTTGCAACAAGGGATGTATAAAGCGAAGCATGTCCGGTTGAGGGTCCCCCAAGGCAAATCGCATGGAGCACTTCCCAAAATTCTTTGTATCTCGCGAAATGGCTGCTGCCCTGTTCTTGTCAGAACCACCCCAGCGCCCGGTCTTCAACTGCTGGATCAGCCGGTTTCTGCAATCCAGTGGCACAGTGTGCTTCAGCTTCCGCAGGTTCTTGCTTCCGACTCCCAGCAAGAGGCTTGCATTCGAGGAGATCTTCCATGTACTCGGGGGCTTGAGCATGTTCACATTGAAGTTTTTGCCAGTGTAGGCATCCTTGAAGTGAGCATTACAGTCATCCCTGTCCACGAACTTGGGAGGTTCCAACGTGGCATTTGCTCCCAGCGCCCTCTGCACCTGAGCCGGCGTGATGTTGGAGACTTGCATTCCGGAAGGCCGGTGCCGGGAGTGAAGCAAAGTGAAGAGCAGACCATCGGAGTGGAGCATGATCGGTCGTCGCAGCATCCATGCGACCATGAACTTGACCTGCCAGAACATGATGCTGCTGACCCCCTTTTGGGCTGGCAGGAAAATCAAGATGGCCTTCTTCCAGCTGGTCTCGCTATCGGCACTGGCGCCACTCGCCGATCCCCTCCACGCATAGTCTCCACACACGACCTGCCCTCTCCACAAGTAGGCGGCGACTGCCGGCACCTTCTCCCAAAGCAGCCCCGCGGTGGCTTCGGGGGTCCCTGAGGTCCCTGAGGTGCCTGAGGTCCCTTTCATATCTTCTCTTTCTCCTCTGGTTCCAGTGATCTTCGGAGTGGTCGAAGTTGCAAAAGGTTTGTGCTTCTCTCTCTCTTTCCATCCCTTCCCCTCCTTCTCCTCAGTCTCCTCCCTTTCCGCCTCACTGGGCTTGGGCATCTGTTGGGAGCCTCCAGATCTCGACATCTTCAGGAGTTCTTGGGGCTCACGGCCTCCCTCATCATCCTTGCGGGTTTCGCGGGTTTCCTCGTAGATGTTCGTGGCATGGGCGAATGGAGCCGCCATCAAGCGGAGGGTGCTGCTGCGTTGCGGGGACACCATGGAAAAGCCGACGACCACCTGCACATGCCAGCCCTCCAAGGACCACAAGAAGAAAGGATAACAAAAAAGGAAGGGAAGTGGGAAGCACACATCAACATCAAGATGGAGCAGAAAGCATAGTGGCATAGTGTCGGGGACTTTGCCAAAGCCACCAGGAGCAGCAGAGCTCCCGTCCCACATGCCAGCGCCCAGGTCGGACAGCGCCAGCCGGGCTCAGACACCTCCACGGACATCACGCCGTGAGAGGGCCGGGGCTTCAAGAGCCGGAGTCACACGCGCGCCATGTGCAGGCGCCCTGCAGGCCCTTCCCCTGCCAACCCTGGCAGGAAGGCTTCCATGGGCCCTACAATGAGTCTAGATGAAATTGGAGCAGTCATATCATAAGTCTGTGACCCTCCTGACGGAAAGTTGCTTGCATCATGATGCTGGGGTGACTTCAGCCTTGAACCTTGCTCTGACAGGGATGCCGCAAGCCGGCTTTGCACTCTGAAAGCCGCAGGTGACAGCTCCAAAAGCCGAGATCTTCGGCTCTTGTCAGCTTGCACAACTTGAGGCAAAGCGCTGTTCGTGTCCAGGTCCCAAAGTGGGTAGCAGAAGTACTCGTCCTAAGCTGCTTCCGCCACTGCCTATCTGCATGCAGCTCTGCGAACGATCGTCTGCGTGTGAACACGAGCCCAACGTGATTAACCAGAGCTCCGTCCACGACATCGGGCAAATGACAGCACTCCACAAACCACAACAGGTCGCCCTCCCTGTCCTTCACCCTAAAAACACATGAATCTCTATCGAACCCCCCAAACCCTGCGAATGAAAACTCGAAACCCCCGAATCCCCCTCAATCCTCATCAATCGGGACGGGCGGCGGCAAATGGATCGTGGCATCTCTGGGAGTTCGTGCCGCACTGGCAAGGCAGGGACTTTTTCTCACAAAGCTCGCGAACCTCCAGAGGGGTGCCGCGCTTGTCGTAGTCCTGGCACCGCAGATGCAAGGAAGATGCGGGAAGATGGGCCGGGGATGCTTCGGAAGTTCAGAAACTTTGGGCTTCGGTAAGCTTTTTGAGTTTTTGATTTAGGGCCTTTTAGGGGTATGGGGGAGAGACGCGGAGCCGCGGGTCCAGGACGAAGCACTTCTTCTCATCCGCCCCACAGGTCACAGGGCAGGTGACGCTGGTCGGCTCACAGAACTCCTCTTGCTGCCTCGGCCGCTTTGACTGCAACGCCTCCTCTCCCCCTCCCAGACTTGAAGTTGCACGAAGACTGAGAGGCAGGCCCAAACTCGTCCTTGGCTGCCGCTCCCGATCCGAGCTTGATCAAGTCCGAAACTCTAATACACCGTCTTCAAGAGCTGCCAAGCTTCCACCCATCTGCACATCTGCGCGTTGGCGCCGCACGGACATGACCTGGTGAAAAAATAGCCATCACAAATCCCCAAACCCTAAACCCTAACCCCTAAACCCTAAACCCTCAACCCCAAACACCCAAACCAGCAAACACTGGAGCAGGCGCGAGTGCTTGAAGCCAGGCTGCTTGGAGACATTGACGCAGCTCTCCACGACTGGCGCGTTCCAATCAGGCATACCTCGCAACGTCAGAAGCCCGTGGATTAACTGACAGGCCCCTAAACCCTAAACCCTAAACCCTAAACCCTTAACCCTAAACCCTTAACCCTAAACCCTAAACCCTAAACCCTAACCCTAAACCCTAGACTCTGACCCTTAAGCCTAAATCCTAAACCCAAAAGCGACTGAACCCAGGGCGCCTTGCGGGGTAAAGGACATCGGGTAGCACATCTTCTCCCTGATGGGGTGGCAGTAGAGGGGGCAGCCCTCGGTTGCCTCAGTGCCCAGGTCCCGAATGTTCTTCTCTTTTTTTTTGCGGGGGGTCTCCGGAAAAGACCTTCTACCCCTTTTGGGGGGGGTGACTTTCTATCCCTCTTGGGGGGCACGAGGGGGGGGGGGGGGGGAGGGAGCTCTCCTGATAGTTTGGGGTATGTTATGGGCACCCATATTTTGGGAGCTGCCCAATCGAGCCTGAACCCGAGCCCATCCTGCCCAGCGTCGGGTGTGCAGTACGGCTCATAGTCCGCTTCGAAAGGGTTGGTGCACTGCACGGCGCCCGTTCCACAAGGGCAGGATTCTGAATTGGACACACCTGGCAAAGCCAGCACGGGACATTCCCAAACCTTCACATCCACTGGTGAAGGTAGCGGAAGGGGACGAGAAAGAACCGAGCTTTTACAGGTCAAGGCCCTCTTGTTGCTAGGTAAGCCACACTGCTCCCCGGCGCCGACAACTTCTCCAGTTGTGCTGTCGAAGTTCACCTCGGGGGCTCTGAAAAGCAACACACTAAGCCCGATCAAAAAGACGTTAACAAGAAGAAGGGCTCTTCAGCCAGGAAGCAACCCAGCAGTACTGCTGCTCTTCAGTGCAGTAGACAGGGCAGGATTCCGTTTTGGGCACGCAGTGGTAGCTGTCTTCACCATCTTGGCACCTGCTACAATGCTAGAAGCAGTGTACATCAATCCGGTCTGTCACAGGCTTGAGCGCTGGCCTCTGGGCAGTCGCATCATCGCAGACAACCGGGCAATCTTCCCCAGAGAAGCAGTACTCGTTTGTCCACTGCCTTGATGAGAACTGTCAGCACCCTTCCTAATGAGTGCACGCACCACCAAAGGTGTGGAACGTTACTTCATGGTACGGCAAGTTGCCAGGCACCGCTGGTGTCAAAAGCCACGATGCCACAGTACTGTTCCTCTGCGCTGCATCGGAGAGGGCACTGGCCATCAGCATACCATTCCTAGGCGATGGCTTGCCACGAATCTGCACCAGCTGCTAGGCGAACAACGACAAGGGCACTTCAATTGCGTCGCATCCCGTACCCACAGAATCTGCTACACGCTCGGAACCATTGAATCCTTGAATCACAGCCACGACCACCTTCAACAACCTTCAACTGGAAGACCCGCAGCCTCGCAGCACAACGTTCCCACGGACAACGACAACGGCTGATGCCAGGCGGCCGTGGGCTCGCACTCGTAAAGGCTGGTCTCCTGCACAGCCGAACACTTCACTTCACAAATGAAGTGGCTTGTCACTGGCTTGTCATTGTTGCTTGCGGTTCTGCAGCCAGGCTAAGCGGGGCTAAGCGGCCATTCCGGCCCTCCACATGTCAAAGGCTGGCTATCGGGACAGTAGAGAGGCACTTCCCCAGGCCGCGGTCCGGGTTCAGGCATCTCAGCTCACCACTCTCGCAGTTGCAGCCCTGTGGTGTGGCGCAGCTTTCATTGCCTCAGTTGAAGACAAGGAATGTTCATATGGACTTCATTGAGGGTCTTCTGTGGCTACTGGTCCCTAAGGCCAGCGGAGCGCCCGAGCCGTAGTGGAAGCAGGTGCCCAAGTCTCCACAGTCCAGCGGACCTCATCGCTCGTACGCTTCTGGGGCTGAGGCTATCTATCTTCCAGTTTCGGGTTTAGGGTTTAGGGGTTTAACCGAACTCTGCATCCTGACTCCTCACGACGCTCTGAGGAGGAGGCCCCCCCTGAACCCTTGAAGATCCAAGAGGCAGGTCTCAGACACGGGGATGCAGAACTTCTCCCCCTGGTAGGTGCAGGATCGCTCCCACTGGCTGTTGCAGGGGCAGCCTGCAACACCCAAAGAAGAATCTGCCATGAACTCCATGAACTAGAATATCTATAATAACTATAATAACTATAATAACTAGAATAACTATAATAACTATAATAACTATAATAACTATAATAACTATAATAACTATAATAACTATAATAGCTATAATAACTATAATGACTATAATGACTGTAATAACGATCATAACTATAACCACCTTTTTTTCCCTATAATTTCTATAATAGCTATAATAACTACAATAACTATCATAACTATCATAACTGTAATAACTGTAACAACCCAAGGCAGTCATGAAAGGCAAAGCTTGGTGAGGCCTACCATCTCGTCGGCGCAAACCTCCGTCCACACCCCAGTCCAGTCGGGCCGGCCCGTATCCTCGGGAAGTGTAGAAAGGTCCTAGGGTCTTAGGGTTTTATTTTAGGATTTTAGGGTTTTAGGGTCTTAGGGTTTTTGGGTTCTAGGATTTTAGGGTTTTAGGGTTTTGGGGTTTTAGGGTAGCTGTCTTACGAAGACGGGTGGGCATGGTACGCCATGCGGGCTGCAGTTTCTCTTGACTGGCCAGGTGGAGCCTGCACGGTGTATAGTGAGTACTCGGAATCCAAGTTGCGTCATATGGCGTTACCCAGCAGGTGATCCTCAGCTTTTCACCCCGAAGCCCATCCCATAACCAAGCTTTCAAGCCTTCAGGGCCCGGCGCGTGTGGGTTTGGGGTTTAAGGTTTAGCTCCTTCTGCTTTTTGTTGGTTGCGGGGGCGGGCGGGGGGGTACACTTAAGCCATCGAAAAAACGTGCCATCAACCGAGGTGCTGGTCCTCTGTGCAATGCCTTAGAATTGCATGGCTTGTCCGAAGCATTGAATGCTCGGCATACTTTTCTCCCTGAGCATCCCTGTGCTACATGACAACCAAACAGAAGAGCCACATGTTAAATACTATGAGCGTAAAGAGATTCCACCAGGTGGAGGTACAAGTGCAAGACTAAAAGTCAGAGAGGAAGGACACATCATCCACTTAAAACACGCACGACTCACAAGCACACATGCAAAAACAAGCAAAGACTTTCCTTCTAGTCTCTAGTCAGCACGAAAGCAGCACCGGCTCTGTTTTTTTTTCGAATCTTCAGCTCCAATGGGCCTTCCGATCCATTCAGGCAGGGTTTGTGTAATATCCCAGTCCAGCATGAAAGCTTCTGCTTTCTTTGCTTGGGCATGTGTGGTTTCTTCGAGACCTGCAGTACATAACATGTGCATGAAAGTTCATGCCTTAAGCGTGTTTGTTGCATCCAAAACCCTAAACCCTAAACCCTAAACCCTAAACCCTAGACCCTGCGCAAAGCATGTTTAGATTCATGCCGTGGGCTTGCATTTGCATTGCTCTCAGACTTGTCAGACCACAACACCAAGATGCACAGGGCATGATCCGTAGACCTTGCTCTGACACCAGCTTCCATAAAGGTCCTGGCCTTGGATCACTTCACTAAGGCAGTTCTTCCTCTGATGGCCTCTTTTTAAAGGTACGAATTGGGATGCTCCCCTTATGATCATCCCCATTAAGGACTGTTAGTATAAGGGGGAACATCCCAAGGTACGAAATGTCGGGATCCCAAAAAAAGTCAAACCGTAATTTAGCGAGGACAGCCCTCTTGTCGGCAAACAAAGCCCGTATCTGCTATTCACACTCCTGGGTGGTTTTTTGGAAGGAATGAGGGAATCAGGGCCCTAGATACTCCCTTAAAGGGTATACTCATTCCCTCATTCCCTACGAAGAACTAGTAACTAGGGGGACTTCCTTCCCCTGAGGCCCAAAGGCCCCTTTTTGGCGGGGAGAGTCTTAAATCTTAGGAACCCGCAATGGGTTGCCCCTTTGCGGGCGCTTTCGGATGCTGTACCGTTTCTTTCTGTTATGCCCTCCCGCCCCGGTTATGCTGAGGGTGCTTGTGATGCGAGACCCGGGGTCTTGTGTCCATGACATTTCACCTCCTTGCTCCGCCAAGCCAGCCCCCAAGCTTGTGTTTCGGGCTGCGTCATGTTCCTGCTGACGTGTAGTGTTTTGACGCCCTACGAGGGTTTCGATGACTCTACATCGGACTCTTTCGGTTTCTGTGTGGCGCTGTGTGGCAATCTCTCTTGCACCTCCCATGGGCGACGGCTCCTGTGAAGAAATGTCATGCACTGTCCAGGTTCAGGTCTTTTTCTCCTACGCCGCCGAGAGCTTCTCCCCCGAGTCTTGAGGGGGAGGGTGGTGGTGCATGGTATCCCAGGCCCCCCTAGACCCGAACGCCCTGATGCTGGAGCACATCTTGGGGTAGAAGGACACTAAGCTTCCTGCACATTTCCTCGTGAACCGGATCGCAAGGACAGGACCTGGCGGATGCTGCGCCAGAGTGTGACTAAGGCCTAGGGTTTTAGGGTTTGGGCTTGGTTGAACCAGGGGTTGCGGCATCACAAGGATGGAAGGTTCAGGGTCTCAGGATTGGGTGGCCCTCGGGTTCGAAGGGGGTGCGCTCAACGGTTGGCTTCATGCCCCCGAAACTTGAACCCCCAAACCCTCCCCCTAAACCCTAAACCTAAGCCCTAAACCCGCAACCGCCAACCCATCTGAGGATATGGCGAGTTGGCTGGCTGGCAGGACTGGCCGAAGGGCAGCTCGAAGTTCGGGTATCCTGGGGTTTAGGGTTTCGGGTCTCGGGTTTAGGGTTTAGGGTTTAGGGTTAGGGTCCCTAGGGTTTAGGGTTTAGGGTTTAGGGTTTAGGGTTTAGGGTTTAGGGTTTAGGGTTTAGGGTTTAGGGTTTAGGGTTTAGGGTTTAGCGTTTAGGGTTTAGGGGCTCCCAAATTCAGGGGTCTTGGCCCTGGAGATCTATAAGGCTCACGGGGGTTGAGGGAGGTTCGTGGCTCCGCCTCCATGGCTAGGAGTTGGAAAACCGTAAATTAACTGAACCATATGGGAACAGAATGGAATGTCCAGTGATTTCCCCCACTCTTCCGCCCCTCCCCCTAAATCTCCACTTGCTGGACGACCATCAGGGGAGTCATAGTCGTCACGTCATGGGAAACCAGATTCAATAATCTCAATCTCCCCCCCGGGGTGGATCAAGGGCTTGCTGGACTTAGGGCCCCCACCGTCGCTTCCATACTGGACCTGGTAGCAGTCCTGCATTTTGGCAAAAAGCCCAGAAAGCGTCTTAGAACCGAAGAGCCACATCAATCTCACAGAAAATCTGGAAAGCTCTGCGCCCTAAACCAGTATGAGGGCTCTCACCTGCTCATCATCCCGACAGAAGAGCGGGCAGTTCTCGCTCACAGGCTGGCACCAGCTGTTTCCTTGAGGGACACTCAAAGCATCTTTCATGTTGCACTCTGATACCGGCCTCTTTGTCTTGTCTCCAGGTGCATCCGAGCGGCCGTACTCGGGATCAGTGCACTTCGTCTCAAACCTGGGGCAGGAAGTATGTTCAAGGGGTTTAGGGTTTAGGGCTTAGGGTTGAGGGTTTAGGGTTCAGGGTTTAGAGTCCAGGGTTTAGGGCATAGTGACCTGGGAGAACTCGAGCAACGCCCTCAAAAGGCTGCCTCGAAAGTTCAGGAGCCTTGAGGCTCAAAGGGGCCCTGTTATTTCGTCGGGGGTTTACAATAATACGGACCCTCATATGGTGGTTTCCGACATAGGGGTACCTCATTGGGGTCCTCTTTATAAGAGAATCCTACTACTTGGGGGACTATGTTGGGGTTCGTAATAGCAGGATCCCCTTATACTAAGGATCCTTAGCAGGTACCCCTTATATCGTTATAACCCCCAAGTGGCTCTTTTGGGGTCCCTCTCCAACCAACTCGAAGCTCTCTCCACCCTTTCGTCCCAGCGACTGGCGATCGCAGGGGCAGCCGGTGCTCTCAGGAGCGCAGAACTCCTCGTGCTCCTCTGAATATTCTTGCTGCCCCCTTTACAGGGTATATGTAATAGGGCGAGTCCCTTAAAGGGTATATATAGGGCCCTCATAGAGTCCCTGAAAGGAGGCCCCCTAAAGCACCCCAAAAAGGACCCATCCACCGAACCACGGGAGCAGTCAGAGGCAAGATGCCTGCGAGTAGTCGCGCTCGCCATTCCTTGAGGGCAGCTCTGGGTGGCACAGTTTTAATTGCTTTGAGATCATCTGCATGTGCCTCCTGTGCCCCCGCACTCGGCAGGAGAATTTACAAGTTCAGGCCCACATGGCTCCGAGGTTCGATGCTCCGAAGGAGCACCGGCTCACGCCTAGGCTGAAGCCAAGTCGCGGAGTGTACTGCCAGCGGTAGCACCAGACTTCCGTGCCTGGCAGGTGTGGCAGTGGCCTCTTCAAACGTGGGAGGTACCGAATGACAAGAACAGGCTTGGGGAAGGTGCCGGTAGAGGACTGCAAGGACAAACATCGAAACTAAGGACAATGAGCATGAGTCCGATAGAAGTGCCCCCAGGCTCCTGTTTAGGGTTTAGGGTCTAGGGTCTAGGGTTTAGGGCTTAGGGTTTCGGATTTTGGGTTTAGGGGTTTAGGGCCCCGTTAACTGCTGCTGAGCTGCTGTTGCAAATCACTGGGCAGCCGCCCGAGGATTTCGGCATGCACCAGCTGGAGAACTGATCCTGCAGCATGTCTCGATGTCTCTGATTCCCCTAAACCCACAACCTTAACCCCTACACCTTAGACCCTCCTACCCCTAAAACCCTAAACCCTAAACCCTAAACCCTAAACCCTAAACCTCTCCGTGGCCTTTGGTGAGTCGGTCCTTGCATGTGAGCTCATCGGCGTCGCACGTGACCTCGTCGAAGCCTCAAGCTTTCAACGGCTTCGAAGTCTCCACGCAGTTCTCCAAAGAAGGGTGGCTCTACATCTACGCGTTTCAGGGCTTCTACAAGGCACCTAACATTCCCGAACAACCAGTAGCTCCCCGACATATCCCCCTTGAGGCTACTACAAGGTACCTAAATTCCCTAAGAACCAGGGTCCCCCTACGTATACCCCTTCAGGGCTACTACAAGGTACCTAACATTCCCGAAGGAACCAGTCGCTCCCCCTACATATACCCCTTAGGGCCTACCCACCGGGCTTTGCCAAAACCGCTGCTGGGCAAGAAACAGCCGGCATCCTTGTGCTCGCAATACTTGATGCCAAAACCTCACGGCCAAGATTGGTCAGGTTTGGGGGTTTAGGGTTGAGGGTTTAGGCCCTTTAGGGTTCAGGGTTTAGGATTTGAGGATTAGGGGTTTACTCGAAATGGAAGTTTGCCTCGGCTTCGTGCCGAGAAGCGTCTGGAGCAAGCAGACCCGGATCCGGTCTCCTTCACTTACCCAACCTTCGTAAATGTTGTGAGCATCCCCCCCGCCCCCGTCCCTGTGGGACACCCCCCCGATCGCTGGGAGCAGCTGCAAACCGATGCTGTGGAGGGTCCGCCTGTCAGAGGGAGCGTCTCAAAATGCGAAATGGGCCTTGGGAGGTTTTGTCCCCCCTGGGACCCGCCTGGAAATTGCCTGGGACCCCTGCCGCCCCCGAACCGCCTGGGACCGCCCTGGCACCTCTGTGGGACGCCTGTCCAGCCCCTCAAGCCTTCCTAAAACCTTCTTCTTGAGAAGCGTTTGGAACCAGCAGACCCGGATCCGGTCTCCTGCCCCCTTACCCACTTCCTCCAGCCCTTCTCCTGGCCAAGTTCAGAGCACTCATGGGGGCGTGTCTTTTTGCTCGCACAGCCGCTGCCAGGGCCGGAGTCCCATCATATAGCCGCTGCGAAACTCCCTAAAACCCCTGCCTGAGCGGCCTGTTTAGGGCCCCGGTTGAGAAAGGTTTTTGGAATATCCTGAACCTTGCTGGCCCGGCTGCCGAGGCGGGGCGCGCGAGCGTTTACAATTACAGCTAGTTGTTCTTGGGGCCGTCATCCTCAAAAATGGGAGCAAACGCGGGCCCATGAGCCGGGGCCCGGGCTTTCACATTGCACCTCCCATTGCGAGTTGCATGGACATCCTGCAACCGTCACAGGACATCCATCTTCGCCTACTTTGCGCAGCTCTTAAGAGTTGTAGGTCAGGCAATTCCCCGTGCATGGTGCCACATGCAAGCGCGCGGCCTTCTGCATCAGTGCTGCAGGTGGGAGTGCCCATCCAGGTTTTTTCTTCATCAAGCTCGCCTTTCTGAATCTGAAACAAACACGAGCAGTGCGCACCGCCTGCAGAAATTCGAAATCTTCATCGGACGTCACCAGTAACCTACAGGCGCCGGCACTCTGAGGCTCCGGCCAGTAGAAGTGTAGACATTCTGGTAGCAGTACCTCAGAACTGGTTGCTTAGCTCGTGCTCCCAGGTCGAAGAGTACATGTTACAATGCCCCCGAGTTCATCAATGTCGGCCAAAGCACCGCTCCTCGCAGAACACCGAATCGCCTTGGGTCAGTTGCTGCAACTCTGGACCTGAGATCCCAGCCCTAGGCCCTAGACTGCCAAGTCGCAATCACCGCCATCAAATCCACACCTAGGCCGAAGTACTTCTTGCTCCAATAACAAGTTAGTCACAGCTCGCAGCATGTGGTTCATGTGGCTACACTTCTTGCACGCCGCCACATCCCGCGACGCCATGAGTGCTCCAAACGCGAGCAAGATACACAAGACAAAGCCACAAAACACGTGCAAGATGGAATATGCTCGTCGTTTTCTTCCTCATATTCCTCCACTGCATCGTCGTCTTCCTCTTCTTCTTCTTGTTCTCCGAAGGTTTGGGCAGGTACACCCCGCTCCCCCACCCTGCCGGGGGCAAACGCGAGTCCAGTGTCTTTCCACGGTTTCCGGGGCCACCAAAGCTGAGATGGCCCCCCATGGACACGCCAGCAGGAAACAGACTCGTCGTGGGTCCCATTACTGCAACACATCTCCTGAGCGACAGCAAGTTGTTCAACAAGGGCCGGGCTACGTCAAAACGCGTAACAACCAGCCACAAGTAGTTGCCCCTGCAAAGCCCACGTCCACAAAAACAGACGCGAAACATCCGGAGTGTCCTCCTGCCATGTCCTTAAAGCACCTTTCCCATGCCGGCTGCAGATGGCTTCTTAACTCCTCCGACTCTCTCTCTCTCTCTCTCTCTCTGTCTCTCTCTCTCCACGCATGGCCCCCCCCCGAAGAGGAGAGCCGCCCCAAGGGGCGCGCACAGTCCACGGTCTGTTGGTGAAATTTGTAGACACGTCCCCCCCCGGCGCCAACAGGATTAGTGCTCTGTCTCTCTCTCTCTCTCTCTCTTCCTTCCTTCGTTCCTCTGCACATGGTCCTCGAAGGGCGAATAAGACTAGTATCAAAAGTGCGTGCGTGCGTGCGTGCGTGCGGGCGGGCTGGCGGGCGTGCG